TATATATCCCCGACGATTTCTTTGCAGGGTTCACTTGTCATTGGGATTGTATTTCTCGACTAAGGTGATCTCAAACGATAGACTACGACTTTACGAGACACGGTCATGCCTATGTAACTATATATATCCATGTATCTATTTATAGAATGTGACAACGATTCAGCACGTGATGCCGTATCGCAGTGGGAGCATAAAGGCCGATTCAAAAGGGATGTGTGGAGCTAGCATGCCGAGGGCACTTGTCATCTGTGTGGTCTGCAAAGGTTGTGTTGTCCACACCTGACATGCTCAATAAAGTCGGTGCAGAAGCAAGTCATACAATGACGACCTGCTTAGCCCAACAATGGATAAGCAAATCTTCAGATACCGTAGCGTCCCTATTGTACCACTGAGCGGAGCCTCTCCGCCAGTGGATAGTTATAAAAGCATATCCGCTTGACAACACCTGCACTGCGTGATAGCCGCATGTGTGCGATCGATTGTTTGTATTAGAGTTCGGGATAAGCCTACATGTACTGCCATGCAGCCCCGATAGGCGGCCTTTGGATCTGATATTTGTCACATTAGTAGCATTCCAATAATAAATTGTCAGGATATCGGATTTTGGAGAGACATATTATTAAATAGTTGGATGTGGAAAAACTAGTCGTCACACTAGTGGTCGTTGGGCGAACTAGTTGTCAAACAACGGGCATAGAGATACAGTCATCATTTAGGAATTCAAACCTAGAAGTGTAGAAATGCGTGCACCGCATTGTACCGGTCCAGCATACTACACACCCGCCCAATAAACACAACCTAGAAGTATGAAAATGGGTTCACCGCATTGGATCGTTTCAGCAGATTACAAAACTGATCAGCAGACCATAAAACTGATCCAAGCCATCGGAATAGAATCGACAACAGAATAGCTTGCACGTTGTTTCAAACGACATAGTACAAGTTGTATCATTTATGCCCACCGCATTGCACTGGCTCAGAAGGCCGTGATGATCCTGCATCCGACCTGTCCTTAAGGTCCAGAAAAAAATTGTCCCTCCACTTCGATCATATGGGTTGAAGGGTAAGATATCGAATTGGCCGTATTGCTGCAGTAAACTTTCAGACAGAGCTACATGAAACAAGATTTCCGTGTCAAATGACGTGGATTACAACAAGACAGCACATACACACACTCGCATACTTCATTCGTAAACAAAACTCTTACTTAAAAATGAAAAATATTTGCTAGTGCATGACAGATGTTGGTCGCAAAAACGTAGCACGAGGGTCGAAATTCAGATTCCACAGGCAAGAACATCACCATGCAGTTTATTTGTGATATCCAAACTCCATATTGAGGTAGAGCAACTAAGGACTCCGACTTGACACTGTAGGTATGCCGCGTATTTGCAACGTGCATCAATGCGCTCCATCCCAGGATATACACACACATCTGTACTCCACATGTTTACTAAAACCTTTTTTACATTTCTCAAGTGGATCCCTGGATCATCCGCTCGGTATGCGTTTTCATGTGCCGGGTCAAATTAGTGCTCTGGGCGAAGCGCTTACCACATCCAGGCACATTACACGGAAAGGGGCGTTCACCTGTATGTGTCCTTTTGTGATGCTCAAGTCCACTACGGTCACCAAAGCGTTTGTCGCAATCACGCCACACACAAATAAACGGCTTCTCACCCGTGTGTATCTTCCAGTGTGTCCCAAGACTACTACTTTGGGCGAATGCCTTGGTGCACCCATCCCACTGACACTTGTAGGGCCGTTCACCAGTGTGTGTGCGCATGTGATCCACTAAACTGTTCATGCGTGCAAATGCCTTATCACAGCCCTCCCAAGTACAATCAAATGGTCGTTCACCTGTGTGTGTTCGTAGGTGGTGTTCGCGACTACTACTGCGTGCAAAGCTTTTGTCACAGCCTTCCCATGTGCATCTATATGGCTTCTCTCCAGTGTGTGTGCGGTTGTGCGTAGCCATATGACTTGCTTGAGCAAATTGATGACCACATCCTTTAAACGCACACCGATAGGGCTTTTCGCCAGTGTGTGTCCGCATGTGAGCCAGAAGCTTGGTATTTCGATCGAAGTATTTACCACAGCCCATCCAGGTACATGCAAAGTGTTTGGTACACGTGTGAATGCGATGGTGTGTGAGGTACGAATGGCGTGTCTTAAAAACTTTGGGACACCCATCCCAGTCACACACCTCGGTACGATCGCCCGTATGCAGTCTCTCGTGTATACCAAAGTCCACTTTATCCAGGAACCTCTTACTACAGTCATCTCTGGGACAAACCATAACATCTGGATTATCTCCCTCGGGTATCTGAGCGGGTGCTTCGAGCGACACCTTTACCACCACTCCAGCCAGCTTCTTTTTGGTACGTTCTTGTATCTGGGGATTCGGATCCACCTTTACCATCCTGGCCGTCTTATCCTTGCGTTTGGGTATCATCTCTGCAGTGGTTGGCATCCATATAGGTATATCTCGTTCGTGTACAAACGTTCCTGGGACGCGTCTAGGGGGTCGTCTGGGGTATTGCTCACCCGTCGTTTCGTTGATTGTGGGTGGGAGCGCCTGAGTGCCCCTAGGTCTGCTCAGCGTCGCCGCTTTCATTGCCGCCAGAGCCGCGTGATCAATCTTCACCTTCTTGTACTTGGGCGCAGACTTCTCTACAATAACCACTGTCTGCTGAACAGGTTTGGGTTTCGTCACACAGGCGCGTTTCGGCCTGTTGGCAGGTGTGGGTGCCACTATCACCAATGCCTTCGAGTTCGCAATCTCCGCATCAGCGTGCACGCCTGTGGTTGTAAAACTCAAGGCGGCATTGGATTCCACTCTAGTTTCGTTCAAACTGTCAGCATTCTCAGAGTCGGATGTAGTGTTATTCGGCTGAGCGGTGGTAGTAGCAACGGTTGTGGTTGTAATAGCCACTCGGCTATTCTTATATACCTTTTTATCTCCACTCTTATTCCCCGCAACACCTTTTCCTTTGCCTTTCTCCTTCATACCATCCTCAGTGTCCGCTGCTTCATCCAAACCCAGGTCCAAGTCTGGTAGTTCACTATTGATACCTGATACACTCAGGTTAAAGTCCATGTACTGTGGTGGCTCAACTACCAACGCATCATCCATGTCCACATCCTCTTCGTACGTAGTAAGAGCATTCAAAGTCCTATCCTCTGCATTCTTCTCAACTGTACTAGGCCCCTCTATACCAGCAGTTATTTCAGTATTGCCCTTATTCGGGCTCCCCGCAGCCACACTACTACTCCCACTCCCACTATCAGTATCTCCAGTCGCTTCACCGACTTGCTCGCCCGGGACGAGAGTGCTGAAAGCACTCGAACCATACTTGAGCAGTGATGACAACTTGGTACCAAAGCTCGTAGACACGGATGTAGCCACGTCCGTTAAAATCGGACCCGACTTTTTGCTTGAACTTGTGGGCACTATCTGGGTCTCCCGTAATTCCATGCCCTCACCGTTTGCGGTCTTGCCCGCAGTCTTTTTTGCCGGACTCACAGTATCACTTACCGCTTCCTCACTCACAGTTTCGTTCTTATCTCCAGAGTCCCCTACTGACTCATGAGTTCGTGTACTACCCGGTGCATTTAAAATAGACCCTGGCTCACCTCTTACCGGTATCTTCTTCTTCGTACCTACAGGAGATATCTTACCTGGACACGATTCTGTGTCCTTGGCTGAAGTTGGCTTGTTACTGCCTGTGTTTGTTGTGGGGTTGTTTGTCTTAACTGCTGTGGTTGCCCCGGGTCTACTTACAGTCAGAGAGGCTATGCCGTTCTCATTGTCCATTGAACATGTCGTCTGATGTTCTCCAATTGTCCAGTCAGACTCCTGTGGAGTGTATATTGTGCCATATGAAGAATATGAGCAAAGGGCTGATTTCTGCACTACCACTATCTTAAGAATATGAGTGATGCAAATATTTCTACATCACTACTATCATTGTGGCATTTATCATTGGTAGAACAGATGGATATACAGTTGGAATGCGAAGTTGCTCATGTAGTTTGACATGCTCCCATTGCCCTGTCGGACCCCTATGTAGTGCCTATCGTACTACCTGCACGCAATGGGCCAGGTACTGAATATACTACCCTCGAGCCGATCTCATTCCTAATATGATAGATAGGTGTACTGTTATACAGGCGTTTCCCCGAGTGATAGTTTAGATGGGTCACCACTGGGGCACGAAATACAAGTCGGCAGACTGTTGCCATCAGAAATGTCAGTGGCCTGATTTTCGAGCTCAATTACAACGCTCAAACACGTGTCACAAATTTATACACTTAGCGCATTATACGAGTGCTGCCGACGTATCGCACAATATATCCTCCAAGCTTGATAAAGGCATTGCGCGAGATCAACTAAAATATTTCCGAAAGGATTGAACGAGAAATACTATGACATTCCAAAAGCGAAACAGATACTATCTACGCGGGAGCCTTTAATGGAAAGACTGTGAAAGACAAGACGCCTAACTGGTGTGTGATTGAGGTTTTAAATCGCTCACAGATACTCAATATAGCATGTGCACGATCGTCACAACGCTACAGAATATCCTGTTGAACCGAATGCGATAGCTGCTGAATCGGTAGGCCTCAGGGAACACTGAACATATACTTACATTGTGCATGTCCAATGTACCTGACAGTCCACAGAACAGAAGAACCGCGTCAGGCAAGAGCACACACGCTCGGCGGGCTTCTCACATACATTACACAACATAGTCTGTACGTACACTTGTACGTATGTGAGTATGGCACTACTTCCAATGCTGTAGTATGTATACCCAACTATTTAAATATATTGGTTACTGAATATTCGAATAGAACTCACACGATAGAACTTTTGAACTTTTGAACTTTTTGAACGGCTTGTTTGGACTTTCGAATTTTAAGCACAGGTGAAAAGGCGTGTGGCCGATATTGTATAAATAGATGTTCGATACTCTATTATATCCCTTCATTCTCTAAAAATAGAATAGCTTTTTTTTTGCTGGCTGGCTTTTTATAATCAACAACAAAAAGCGGAAGGGAGAAGGGAGAAGGGCAGAAATCTAAATAGGCAGTTTTTTTTTTTGAATATTTAGAGAAAACCGTTTTTTTTTATATAAAACAACAATTAAATTTTTGGCACAGTTGGTTCATAGCATAGCCTTCTTTTTTTTCCAAACAAACATTCATAGCCTCCTTTTTGTTTTTTTTAAACAAACAAAATGTGTACATATAAAGAAATTGAAATCAAACAATATGTATTTTCAGTTTGTTTTTAAAAAGATATATTCAAAGTTTGATCCCCCCTAAAATATTTAGTTCTTTTCTACAAGACCAGAACGAAATAATATGTATATATATATGGTGCAGTCGGATATAGATCACCTTACTTCAAACCCAGACTTTGGCAGTGAACCCTATCGAGGAGTTAGATAGCGGAAACGGCTTGTACTGACCTGCTCTTGAAAATCACCCGGACACTTTTTCGAGAAAAAAAATGGTTGGTTCGAGCTTCACCAAAACCAAAAATTCGAAAAATTGGCCGTTTTGGATATATGCTGTGTATATATAGACTATTTGGGTCGATATCAGTCACTTTTAGGGTCGATTATGGCACAATTTAATGCCCCGAAAACCCTGACAAATATCCAAGAGTCTCCATTGACATGTTTTGTCACTCACAAAGTTAGAGAACACTAATATGAGAAGTAGCCGTACTATTACTATGCTATATGTGTAATGTATGCACACCTGTAATTGGTAGCTTCTGTTGTGATAAGCATGTCGAACAGGTCAAGGCACTTGAGTGGTGGCCGGGTGAAGAGACAAAATTTAGAAGACAGACAAACGAACAAGTTTACTGCAGTTATACAAGATGATGAATTTGAACCTGATGAAATAGAGTTGATTAAATGGGGATAGTAATTTTGATAGGGAACAAACTTTCGTGGATGTTTTACTAGATTACTATATGATGGGAAGTATTTGAACAAACGATGGGAGGATGTCTATACAAGTGCGTCAGCAAGGACAGACAGAAGAAAGAGATTGAAAGCAAAGAAGATCTGATTAGGAACCGATGGTATAATCATGAAGTCTTTCTTCAGTATGAACCCTAAGGTAATAAACCCTAAACCCTCAACCCTAATACTCTATGTGACGTCAAGTGGTCCCCCTGTGTTAAACCCACGACATAAATGTGTTCAAACTTTGCAGTCGTATCCTTAGAGAGTGCCTTCTCTTCACATTCCCTGCGTATATGTTTCTTTTAGAAGGTTATGGCGTATAGCTCGGTTGATACTCGTTAAAGCGTTTTCTTTAGAGTATTTCAATGTTTTGGCCGCCGACAGTCAACAATCTAAATATTGGCCACCACATGGTCGGATATTTGGCCCCATCAAAATGGTCGATTTTTTTATTACGGCAATGGCTTCCTTTACACAATCCTAATCACACTGGATATTTTGTTTTTGAAAATTCCAATTTTTTGACGTAAAAAAATTATATAAAAATAAAGGACCAAGTAGAGTGATCTATATCTGACTGCACCATATACAAAAAAAATATGGCCCTAAGCCGGGCCTAAGGTTGTCGCCATCATGTGGGTGCATATTCGGAGCCAAAGGATCAGTGTTCAAAACATATATTCTAGGACCCCGTCTTTTGACCCAAATAAACGTTCTAAAGTGTATATATCCTAAACCCTAAAAAATAAAAAATAGACCCCTCACTCCACTCAGTCTCACCAGACTCACCCTGTGTGTGAAAAAAAAACAGTTTTTAGCTGTGTTCTGGTCAGTGTCATATTGTTTTTTAAAAAAAACAAAAACAAATTGATCAGTTCACCCCTCGTGGCCTCCTCCCCTCCTGACACTCTATTGTGATGTCGGATACAACAAAAAGTAACCGTTTAAAAATGTCAGTGAATAGATATTCTTCATGCTGGCTGTCAATGGGAGAAGAGTCAGAGGACTCGGAGGATATCGAGAAATTGGGAGTACCTTGACTCCCTTTACCCCTATACGAGATTTTTGTCGGCATGTCGCGGGGGGGCCTGCCGGACTGGGCCAGGGGTCACACTGGTGCAGTGGTGCTGTGGTGGTGGGCCGATTGTGGGACAGGAGTGTGGGTCCGTTGTAATTTAAAAAAAAGAAAACTATTCTGTATTCCTATTTCCTCAGGGCTCACGCGGTCATGCCGTCAGTATTTTACTGTATTTACTATGCATTTACATATTTGCATTTTTGTTTTTATTGTAAAACATACAGAGGTTAAAATTTTAAAAAGCAGCGTGTACGTAGTCACGTATGTATGTACAATAAGTTATAAATTCAATAATATAAATATGTATAGATTTACGTATATATATACGACAATACCTGTGTATTTAAAGGCGGGCTATGAATAAATAGACATAAATACACGATATACGCCGAGAAGCATGACAATAGCACACTTCAAAAAAAAGAATTGTCACGTAATTACTTGTCAGCAATCCACAGTCATAACTGTTGATGTTGACAAACACACCTTTAATCATCGTGCACTATAAGTACGCTACACACTAGTGACTGAAGTATTCAATCGTGTTACCTTTTCCGGTGCAATCCCGCATACTTTATTTATCACTCTCTTGTTTAGCCACCTAATACGAGATAAAACTTAATATAAACACGCCGTTCATCACAGACATACATCTATACGTACTCATCATGGATAGTCTTGCTTGGATCTACGATTTCATAATGTCGCTACCCTGTGTTCAGGAAGTTGCGCTGGCCACAGCTTTCTGGTTCTTCCACCAACACATCGTCATGTACAGTATGCGAAGACTGTCCGCCACGTATGCTGTGGTGTGTGGAATCTTACCGTTCACCTGTATTTGCCATTCTCATTTCCACGGATGTATTTATGTCTTGTAAGTTGTTAGCAATGCCTTGAAAGATACTCTGACGCATCCACTTGTTAATTGAAAGAATTGCCATACCCTTAAAACAACTATTCAGAGTCTATACACAAAATATGTTGATCATGCCGTGGCTACAACATTTCGTATCGATATGTGCAGTCATACACTATTATTCTATATCCATATCTCTATCTAATTATATAAACACACATATATTTATATATATATATATATATTA